TTAGTTTTTTTGCATAAATGTGCCTTATTGTTCCCCCATCTGCTGTCTTTGAAGAAATAACATAGCAAGTATTTAATTTTTTTAATGATGCAAGTGACCAGTATGTATTAATAAAAAAAAATTTTTTTAACTATTTTGCTTTATTTTTTCCCTATCTGCTGTCTTTGAAGAAATAAAATAGCAAGTATTTAATTTTAATATATGATGCAAGTGCTCAATATGTATTAATGCTTTTTTGTTACCATTTTATTTATTTATTTATTTTATTTTTACATAAAATTGCCTTTTTTTCTCCCCGTCTGCTGTCTTTGACGTCTCTGTTGAGGATCATGTGTGTTCCTGTGATACCATCAGCCAGTCAGTGTAGTCATGATGTCATTTCCTGCGGCTACAGAGTGATTAGTCTCACGACTTTTACATTTAAAAGATGCATCATGCAGGTCGTGTACGTCCAGAGGGGATGAGAAACTGTCATTGAGATGAATGCCAATGCTAACAGATAACTTTCATTCCCCATGCTTTATATAGATGTTTGGTTGCAGTGATGATGTTAGCTGAAGGGCTGAACTGAGATTCAATTCTTCTTCACATTCATACTTTAATGCCGACAGCCTGAACACACAAGTTTCAGTAGTATAGAAAGCGGTATCTCGGACAGAAAGAGTGAGCAATGTGGACGTTTTTGTCTCACAATTGGTCATTTAACTTTCCAAATCGTGTTTTCCGATGTATTTGTGTTGAGGTCAGTGCATTTTGTAGTTTCTTCACCAGTGTAATACTGCACTCAAAGGTACTTTAGCTGCTGTTAATTACTATTCCCGTCACATTTCTGGAATTGACGGCAGACACAAAGCCTCCGGTGATTTAAAGTGAATGGCAGCCGTAACGCACCATGAAATGAAGGCTTCAGAGTGGCCCACCGTACCAACATCTAGACATAATTCCAGCGCTCTCATCTCTCGCCTATACCAAACGATTGTGGGGGTTTTTAACTCCAAAAGCACTCCTAGATCTATTGTTTCAGCTCTGCTCTTTATCACTGTGTCTTTCTTCCACCCCAAACCCCAATAAAATATGAAACAGAAGTTTCCTCCGCTTCCTCTCCGCATGCCTGCTTTCCGCTACAAATCTCTTTTTTATTATCGCCGCCGCTCCACCCAAAGCGCATTCTGATAAAGCGACATTACAATTCAAGTCGGAGCTTTTGAACAAAACAAGATGGTAGATATGATGCTTTTTTAAGTGGCTTGACAACTTTGGCACAAGATCTTCTCAGACTTTTAACAGCTCTGGCTCAGCATGAAGTAATAACAATTTATTTTCGTCTATTTTCCTTAGATAACCGTTGTTTGACAATGAGAACGAGACTGGAATAGATCATTCTGAAGGACTCTGTGTCTTTTGAAAGAGACTGACTGGAGGCTGAAACAGAAATCTTTAAAGGGGTCATGTGATGCGATTTCAAGTTTTCCTTTCTCTTTGGAGTGTTACAAGCTCTTGGTGCATAAAGAAGATCTGTAAAGTTGCAAAGACTAAAGTCTCAAATTCAAAGAGATATTCTTTATAAAAGTTAAGTGTCATCCACGCCCTCCTAAAACGGCTCGTTCTAACACACCCCCACATATCTACCTCACTATGTGGAAATATTAGCATAATGCCGCCCAAATGTTCACGCAAAGAAAGAAGGCGAGGTTTCAGTAACCGCAGTTAGTGTTGAAGCAGCATGTCAGGGAGACGCTGTGTGTTTCAGTGCGAAAGCAAAAGCACTTTATTTGGCCTTCCGAAAGTAGATGCATTTAGGAATCTTTACGATTACTTACAACAGAACAGCAATGCATTTTATGGACGACCGTTTCGTGAACCTAGGAGAGGAGGTCATTCTGACTTTGCTATGACAATCTGGCGCTTCTGAATCAGCGACTGTAAGTATGTTTTGTTATTAGTTTAAGTATTTGCTATTGACTGTTCAAATGCGGAGTTTTGCGCAGCGCAGAGTAATGCGTTGTGTGTGTGTGTGTGTGTTTGTGAGTGTTTGTGAGTGTGTGTGTGTGTGAGGGGAACAGGGTCACATCACAGGAGAGTTAACTGTCTGTCAGAAATCATAGCACGTCAGCTGTCTTAACTGCGGCTTGTGTACTGCATCATCACTGTGTCTGTCACGTGACTCTGTTGCCCTTTCGGGCTTAAATTGATTGAAAAACTAATGACTTTATTAACTGTCTTGGTATTTACTTTGAAAGCTGAAGTTCGCGATTATGGTAAGGGGCGTTACATTTCCGACGCGTGCTTGTGGTGTTCGGCCAATCACAATGCACTGGGTCAGCTGGCCAATCAGAGCAGACTGCGCTTGTCAAAGGAGGGGGCTTTGTTGAAAACTACGTGTTTGAGAGAGGCATAGAGGACCTACAATAATGTACAGTATTTGAAAAATAATGTGTTTTTTGAACATTAAAGCATGTCAACATATTCTGTTACACCAAATACACAAAAGAATTATCTTTAAAATAGCATCATATGACCCCTTTAAGTAACCTGTTGTAATACCCTTATTTCAGCACATCTTTGAAAACATCTTAGTCCACATGCACTTCAGGCACCTTAAAAGTTCAAATAAAAATGAAAACTGAAAAATGTCTTTTCAAACATGTATGATTTTTTTCTTCTTCTATGGACCATAGAAGAAGTTTGTTTTTTGGTGTCCATACAATGAATGTCAGTGGTCCAATCTTGTGGTTTTGGACCCCATTGACTTACATTCTTCACTATCTTCACTATTAATTTTTTTTAATCTTTCAAAATGTAATTGTGCACATATATTAATGTATTGGAAAAAAATAACATTAATCATTTTTTTTTTAGTGATGTTATAGTGGCACAGAATCTACGTACTTTGGCTTTAAAATGTAGAAAATAAGATCCATGATTATTGGGGAAAAACATTGGGACCTGCTCTTACCTTTCAATAGAAACAATAATTGCTCTTTTCTGCTAATTTCTTTCACTTCTAAAGCTCTTGTCACCTTTGGCTCCTTTTGAAGATGCTAATCACATTTCTGAAATTATTATTAAAGTATCACAGAGACTTTCAATTTACATGAAAATTAATCATTGCTCCCTTTGGAAATGCCCTCCACAATTAAAGATTCCTGAGCCTTTTATTAATGAGACTTATTGGCTCTGTCAGTCTGCGTGGAGAGACAAGAGCCCATAACGTATGTAAATCTGCTGTAGTGTTACGCAGCAAATCGCTGCAGACCTCCCATGACAACATAAGACAACACACAGTAAGTCAGGAAAAAGAGCCTCTCAGAATGACACATTAAGAGAAAGTCTATGCGTAAGTGCTGTGAGAATGAGACTGAAGGAGTGAATTTTACCTGTTGAATTGCTGCAGGGGACAAATAGTCTGTGATCCCTTTTCCAAGACCCACAGAAAGCACAATTGGAGTTTTGTGGCATTTAATCCCTGCTTATTCAAGGTTCAAGAAAACATACTGTGACATTCAGAACTTAAACCTCAAAACTTCAGCAAAATACTCTTTTGTGTCTGCAACTTTTTGATGTCAGAAATGTTAGTAAAGTTGAGTTTAAGCTTATTTTTTAACAATATCCCTGATCGTTTCAGTCTGATCTTAGCAGTTTGAAGGGCACACTGACAAGCATGTGGTGTTTGATGAATCTATCTTAGTGTAATGCAAGTTTAAGGCAGCAGATATGTTGTTCTTGTAGGATGGAGTGATTAAAACTATAGCAGATCTGACAGTGAAGCCGCAGATCATGAGTTAGTGCAGCAAAGCACTTACTTTACATGAACTCTTAAAGTCACAACAGCAAAAAAATGTTCAGTGTGAGTGTAAAATGCTTATGAAAACCTAAAATATGCCAGTAAATCAGATCTTCTTGCTTGCATTGAAGCTCGAAATGCTCTGCATCTCAAATCATGCAGGAGAACATGATCATTAGGTTTTGATCAAGTCAGCTCCAGTCTTGCTTTCATTACAGCAAAAATTAGCATTGTGAATGCAGAGTAGAAGTTCGCTGGTGCTCTCAGCCTTTCAGATGTTGAGCAGAACAGTAATAACTAGATGAGTAAATTTTGAAGACACACTTGTCTGAAAGTTTACAATAACTTAAAAAGCTTGAATTGTGAAGGTTTTTACTAAGAGAAGTCTGAGAAAGTCAGTGTTGCTAACATGTTTTAGCACATTGCTATTATGTTTTAACAAGTTGCTAGCATAATTCTAGCATGTTTTAACATGTCCTTAGCATGTTTTAGCACAATGCTAATGTGTTTTGCAAAGTTCTAGCATGTTATAGCAAGTTGTTAACATGTTACAAGCATGTTTAACACATTACGAGCATATTTAAACATTGTTCAAATGTTTCTAGTATGTTTTAATGTGTTTCTAACGTATTTAAAAACATTGCTAACATGTTTTTCCACGTGGCTAGCAAGTTTCTAGCATATTTAACATTGTTAGCATGTTTCCAGTTTGTTTTAACAATACTAACATGTTTTTACATGTTGTTAGCATGTTTTAGCAAGCATGATCCTAGTATGTTTTAGTATGTCGATAACATGTTGAGCATGTTTTAGCATGACATTGCTTATGTGTTTAGGGTTAACACATTGCTAACATTTGCAGAACATGTTTTAGCATGTTGCTAAGACTGATATTAAAACATGCTAAACATATTGTGAGCATTTTAAAATTTTCCCTGCATGTTTTAACGTGTTTCTAATATGTTTTAGCCTGTAGTTATTAACATGTTTAACATGTGGCTAACATATTTTAGTATGTTTCTAGCACATTTTAGCATGTTGTTAGGCTTATCTAGTGTATTGCAGACTGGTTGTTAGGCTTTGCTAGTGATATGACAGCTTAAATACTGTGAATGAATGAAAAACTGTGCGAATTTGGGCCTGTTTGGATGTCCAATATGGGAATTCTGTAAGTCAAGCCAACATAATGAGGGTTGATTTATGTTGTGTCCCACAGGATACAGGAGCTGAAAGATCTAGGAGAGCTCTCTCCACACTGGGACAACCTGCGGAAGGACGTGATCTCTCGCTACGACCAGATCATTAAAGAATACCAGGACACGTTGGCGGAGCTGGAGAAACTTACTGGTAAAGGCTTCAGATGCAATGAAGCATGATCTCTTTCTCACACACACATACAGCCTTTCTCATTTTGCATGCATGAGACTTTATCCAGTGCAAACAGTGTGACATCACACACAATCACACACAATTGATCAGCAGTGCGAGTTGTAAAAGCATTTTTTTGGCCAGCCGCATTCATGCAGAATTTCTTAGTTCATCAAATTTTCATATGCAGCTCACAGTTAGCTGTCACATTCAATGTGACTTTATACTCGCATGGTTGCACGTTTTAGAGGAACAAGCAGAGTATGCGCTTTTAAAGCTGCCTCTATTGCATTAGCCTGTATAAAGCTTGTTTACAGTAAATACATGTGTCGCTTTTAATAATAAGACGCACTGTAGCATTGCAATTGCATGCGTTGCCTGAAAACTAAACTTGAATTGACTGAAAAATTGATAAAAAAGTGCCAATTTTATGCTTCTGTTTAGAAGCACATAAGCCAAAATGACAAATAAGTCATTGCCGCAGTGCATTTTACAAAAGCGATGGCCATGTAAACGTTATACGTCTCTACCAGTTGACACATTGGTACTGTCGCGTGGTATATCCTGTCATCTCACCCCGCTCAAACATGATCCATATTGTTGGAGGAAAAATAAAATGGAGCACAAAATGTCAGTATTTGTCAGCCGTGTCGCACCTCACACCAAGCAAAAATAGTCATTGATGATCTTGCCCTTCTAATCAGGCGTGACGGGCCGAAAAAACTGATCTGCCTGATCGATGGACCCATTACTGAGGCTTATATTCAGGGATGAAATTGTGCAGGCTTGTGTTTTGTCAGCTGAGCGGTGTTGACGTGTCCGTCCATGGGCCTCTAATCTTGTTTGCTGAGTAGCAGACGCCCTGCTCCCTCACAGCCGTTCCCATTTTTCTTTTTTACTTGATACCAGGGCCTGATTTTTATTTTTTTTATAATCTGACTTGTTGTTCAGAAAACCACCTTAAAACGGGGTTTCTGTTCAGGAAACAAGTCTTAAAGGGGAAGTGTATTTTTGCTATAAGGTGCTGTAATATTAGCGAAATTTGACAGCAAAAAGTTCCATTGTTATTTGTCAATAGGGTAGCTATGTAGTAAATAGCGTTCACACAGAAAACACCATGCAGTTTTCTGTTTGTCAACATGGTGAATCCATGTGTCCAACATAAACATGTTGTGAAAACCATATGAGGATATACTTCGTTCTTGCACAAAATTCATGATTAAGTGTATTCCTATGGAAATTACTGGATTCCACCCATGAAAATATACCGAGCATCAGTAAATGGGTCTGCACCATCACATTTTTATTCAAATAATGAAGGTGCTGTACATTGAATTATGTATTCTATTGTAATTGTACAGTACTGTTGTATTTTGAACATGCAATTAATCGTTTTATTGTAAATGAAAAAATAAATCATTAAAGGGGTCATATGATGCTTTTTTAAAGATCATTATTTTGTGTATCGCATCATATGACCCCTTTAATTTCTCAAATCCATCAACACAGACGCTGCATGTTGCATCCACCATGTTTTCTCACACTTGGGGCTTAAAGAAATTTCCAAGTTTATTACTCGTAATTACAACTTTGTGGTGTCATTCTTGCGTTCAACTCAAAAATACAATCTTTCCAACGTAACTTTAATGCACCATTAGATTCTGATTAATAATGGGACTATTCACAGCAATCGATCTTTTGGTAATTGTCTTCCAATTTGTTGAAGGCCTAGAATTTCTTGTAGAAACAAGTTCAAGTTCTGAAAGCTGTAGTGGCTAATGCTAATGCCCCATAAAAATCACTTATTTCTGGAATGCTTAAATCAGTTGTCTCTTCTTTTTAGCATTTAGTTAGCCTACGTCACAGATGAACACAGTGAACCATGATTTGCTGTATGCTAATCGGCTGTAGGCGGCATTAGCATGGAGGACATTCTTGAGCGCATTTGACTGGACTAAAATCCATTTAGTGCAGCTTGTCATCAATGCTTTTGTGCTCTAAAATGCATGTATCTCTGCACACTAAACAATCTCAAATACACATGAACTAAAAGCCACATAACTCCAATTTGAATTTCTGAGGTGTTTTAGAGCATTTAGAGAGTGTTTTGCCATGCTGACAGTACAGTTAGCATGCTAAAACCTCTGCATCCCCTAATTCATCCTCCGTTAAAGCACTGCAGCTAAAATATTAAAGGGGTCCTATTATGCATTTTCACTTTTTCAACTTTAGTTAGTCTGTAATGTTGCTTGGACCCCTTTAAAGCTTAAAAACTAAATATTAAAATTAAAGCTTAAAAAAACAAAAAATATGCTAGAAAAACTAGTCAATGATATTAATGGACTAGCCGATTTCTGGACGCATTCCACCCGTTCTCCTGTCCTATGGGATGTTGTCATAATCCACTCACTGCAGTGCCACTGCAGAGTATTAATTATTGATATCTAATGTTATCACAAGGTTGGCAACATGTGGCTCCAGACAGTGTTTGGTTTCAGCCGGCGTTTCTCAAAAGGGCAGATCCGTTCTCCCGCCGCCCTCTTTACCTCAGGGCAGGTATTGCAGTCTTTTGGCTCTGGTCTAAAAAAAACAAAAAACAAAACAAAACAAGCTCTGTGGTGTTTTTTTCCCCTTTCGTTTAATTCATTTTTAATTAGACAAGGCTGACTCGGGGTACTTCAGAGTGTGTTAACTAATGAATTAATAATTTTGTGTTAGCATTGTTTGCAGCCGGTGGAATTAGAGGCACTGGGAGCTAATCCTGTTGTTTGTCAGTCCTCCAGCGGGATTGTTCGGCCCGGGGTGGAGAAACCCACATCCTCACCCCCACCGTCACAGAGAGCAAAGTAAGACAAATCCAAAGACTTCACTGAGCCACGGAATAAGTGAAGGGTAATTAAAATAAGTGAGGAATCTTCCAGGACTTTTCTTTAAAGCTGTTTTCTTTTCTTCACACTCTAAAAAATGCTGGGTTAAATACAACCCAGCATTGGGTCAAATATGGACAAACCCAGCGATTGTTTTTTTTGACCCAGCAGTTGGGTTAAATGTTTAACCCAACCTTCTGGGTAGTAACCCAAATAATGGGTCAAAACAACCCAATCGCTGGGTTTGTCCATATTTTACCCAACGCTAGGTTGTATTTAACCCAGCATTTTTTAGAGTGCAGTATTGACTCGCCCTCGTGTTACTGAAACTTGTAAAAAAAAAAATTGTAATAATAATAAAAAAACAACAACATAAAACATCACATGAAATTGTATATATTCATTACTGTTCAAAGGTTTTTCAAATAATTAAAAAAAAAACTTTTATTCATCAAGGATGCATTAAATTGGTCAATTGACAATAAAGACATTTATAATGTTAATTAAAAAATTAATTTTATATAATTTTTTTTTTACTTTCTATTGATCAAATAATCCTGAATAAAATGTCAAATATTTTTAAAAAAATATCAAGCAGTGCAACTGTTTTCAACATATATAATCTGATAATAATTTCTGATAATAATCAGAAATGTTTCTTGAGCAGCAGATCAGCATATTAGAATGATTTCTGAAGGATCATGTGGCACTGAAGACTGGAGTAATGATGCTGAAAATTCAGCTTTGATCACAGGAATAAATTGCATTTTAATTTATATTCAAATATTTTAAATTGTAATAATATTTCACAATATTACTTTTTTTTTACTGTATTTTTGATCTTATAAAAGCAGCCTTGGTGAGCAGAATACATTTCTTTCAAAAACATTACAAAAAGTCTAACTGACCTCAAACTTTTGAACAGTAGAACACTTTTTTGAACACTTTTTAACAGTTTTATGTGATAATCAAAGCTTTGACTCAAGTGTAGATTCAAAAATGGCACATTTGGTAGGTTTGATGTTATTAATGCTAAAGGAATGTGAAATTTTCTGTCACTTACAAACTGAATTTTATAATAATAATAATAATTTGTTACATTTATATAGCGCTTTTCTGGGTACTCAAAGCACTTTTCATGAAAGCGGGGGAATCTCCTCCACCACCACCAGTGTGCAACATCCACCTGGATGAATTTTAATATTTTTTCACTCAAAGCTGTCGTACGACTCCAAAAGACGAGTCACATTGCTTGAGTCGCATGGACTGCTTTGATACTTTTATGGTGTTTTTGATTGCCATTGGACACTATTGTTTTAGGGAAAAGAAGACAGTTTGGACATTCTGCTAAACATCTCCTTTGGTGTGCCATGGCAGAAAGTAACTCAAAAGGGTTTTGTAACAACATCAGGGTGAGTAAATTGACAGAAATCACATTTATAGCAAGACTAGTTGCTCTTTGTTGGCTGTAGATCTCACGTAAGCATAAAAACAGTTTATTAAGCCTCAGACGGTGATTTGTTCCCCAGAACCATTGCAAAACCACAGACAGTCTGCGCTATACAAGCCTGCAGGCCGCAGACACCTACTCCTGCTGCTGCTGCCCAGGGACTTTGGTGCCTGTTTAACGGGAGGCAAACCTTGAAAACGCTTGGCACAAGAGACCTTCAGCCAAGCTGAATCAGTTAGAGGCTTCTGTGCCAATAGCTAGCTGTGCCTTCTAGGCTCTATGGTGGGCCTGGAACTTTCTTCTCAATATTTCTGAGAAGGGCGTTTAATGGAAGCAGGGAAACATGCACGATGCTCCTGTTCAAGTACACTCGTCTCTGACTGGAGATCGCATTGAACTCTCATCATTATGCGCTTCTGTAGCCGAGAAGGAGATCTTATGAGAGAAAAACAGTCAGAGGGACAGAAATAATGAGACTGCTGGCTTTTTTATGGAAAAGAGACAAAGTGCATAGCTGACAAATGGACATAAACCTTTTTTTCGAGGTAGTTCATTGATGCATTTCTTTTCCACTACTTTTAATCACTTTTTGCCTCGACTAGTTCTTTAGTCCTGCAGTGTGACAGATTATTTTGAAGGCTTGTAGTCTCACACCGCAGGAT